TACGTTCACGTCTTACATCTTTTAATTTCTTTTCTCCAAATAAATTCCTAATCCTTGTTTGATTCTGTAGATCCTAACTGCCTCTTTGTTAATTGTTCTCTAGATTTTTGGTCCTGAGAGAAAGTTTGTTTGTAATTATGCACAAAGCTACACGATGGGCTATCTGTGCTCTGCCCACCACGGGTATCGAAACCCGGTTTATAGCATTGTAAGTCCGCGGACATACCGCTGTGCCACTGGGGGGGGGGGCGCTTAGAGAAAGATCTGGGAGCTTGCTCCTATCCCCCACAGAAAAGTTTGCGACTCCCTGCTTTCTAATATGACAAGACTAATGACAGAATGAAATTGGTACCACTAGCCACTAACTCCTGTGCAATTTCCATAATAATATTATAAAACTATTTATCCATTGTTGGATTACAATGTTTAGGATAAATATGAAGTTGTTGTTTTTTTCTTTAAGTACAATTATGCATCATTTCTTTCATATGGACCACGTGACTTGTGCGGGTATACCAGATGTTATTATTTTTTTCTGTTGTTTCTTTAATCTTCATTTGTTATCACATTTTTATTTTTCAAAGTATTACACATCCCTTCTATTTTGGGAAATTCTCCTCACGTCGGCTCTAACAATCATAAAACCATCATTCAAATCGTGAAAAAAATGTCATTTAAAATGATATTAAATCAATCGTCCCCCCCCCTTTTTTTTTGCTACGTGCTAAACAAAACTGGATGTTTGTAAATGTAATAAAATCATCTTCAGGTACTTCTGTGACCAATACTTGTCAATGGAATTTTACACGTTCCAAACCTCGTAAGAATGTTAGAAAAAAGTTCTTACCTAATTTAGCAGCCTGTGTGTCAGAAATTTAAAAAAAAAGATTATTTTCGCTGTTGCTTATCTGTAGAGATCTATTTGTAAAATATATCTAGAAACTGTGATAGTCTAATAACAGAGTTGTTGCTGTTGTTGTTGTTTTGAAGTTGAGCACAAGCTACACAATGGGCCATCTGTGCTCTGCCCACCACCGGTATCGAAACCCGTTTTTTAGCGTTGTAAGTCCGTTAATGACAGAGAACACACACCAACGTGGGTAACCGACGCCTTTAAACTGTCGCCATCAGTGTCTTACAAATTTCCAATGCGGAGTATTTTACTTATTAGGAATGTCAAACGAAAACGTGTGTTGTGTACTGGATAGATGAAACACGTGCTGTATTGACTACAGGGTATTCAGCCCCCAAATCAAATGTTCAAATATACACTGAAATAACTTTGCCCAAAACTACAAAAAAAAAATTTCCTTAAAACCTAGAGAGGTTTCAATCTCCTCTGCCAGTTCCTGCGCCTATGGATATAAAATTTCTATACTGCATAATCTCCTATGTCATAAAAATTGTGTTATTATGCGTACATAGATATACAAACTATAACATATTTTATAGTAGTGGTATATATATAACAAAATGTAAAGTTAAATACATAAATTTAAGAAACAACAACCGAGATTTACACGTTTGTTACGCTGGTTTTAGCTTGGAACTTTATCAGTCTCGTGATTAATTAAAACTCAATGCCCGATCCCACTTAATAAAAACTCCAGAAGCTTAATAAAATGTTTTCAGATACATAAAGCTTAGAGAAAAATAAAAACATGCATATGGAAATCATCAACAAAGTGTCTGAATATTGAAATAGGGGGAATAATTGTAGTATTAATATTAGCCAGAAATGAGAATGGTTTGATAGGTCATCTTTAATTAATATATACAGAAACTTAAGTTTATTTGTACTCCCCCCACCGCTGGTATCAAACATAGATTTTTAGCGTTCTAAGCCCTCAAGCTTACCGCTTGTTTACGTAAGAAACATTTTGTTTGCTCAATGTCGTGCAAAGTTATTTGAAGGCTATCTGCGCTGGCCATCCCTAATTTAGAAGTGATAGGCTAGAGGAAAAGTAACTAGTCAACACCACCCATTGCCAACTTTTGGCTAGTATTTACTAAAAAATAACGGGATTGACCAGCACATACTAACACCCGCACGATTATTCGGTTGTGGGATTCAAACCCACGATCCACAGATTGTGAGTCGAGTGTCCTAACCACTAGCCCATGCCAGGCACCGTAAGAGACAGAAAAGCTGGCCAAGAAAAGTTTTTGAAAAAAAAATTGAACGCAATCATTAAATACTCCAATAGTATTTTATAAGTTGTACGACAAAATTCTTCAAGTTGATTAAGTTATATTATAGGTTTCAGTTATAGCTGTCCATAACTTAAGTAAGGTAGCCAGTTACCAGCATCTGTGCGTTAAGAGCTTTATCTGGCTTTTGAACTAAGTAATTGAGCTGATTATCAGTTTTATAACTCTTTCCCAAATAAAAGTGCTAAGCGTGTTATACGGTATCATTTCTCGAGCCCCACCCCTCTTCATGCTCATCCCAACGCGCTAACCATTAAGTTACTACCCCCAATTACAAAAGGGTTTACATAACAGAAAAATCGGGTAGAATTTTTGTATAAAACTTCTTTTTTTAATGAATTACTCATTATTCTGAAATATTATTTCTACCTCCTGTAAAGGGTGGATGGGCGTAGCCTAGTGGCTAGCCTGACTGGAATGTAAATCCAAGGATTCATGGTTCGAATCCTATTTACATAAAAACGTGCACCGAACTTGGATTAGTGAGTCCATTGCACTAAAAGAGTGACGCCAAAACCCACTATTTGGTCAGACAAGAATATCGGAACTATTTTTGGTGGGTGCTGTTAACCATAACTGTCTCTACTCTGGTCTATCAGCTCAAAATTATGGACAGCTGTTCTATAGATCATCTGCTCTT